AAAAAAATAGAAAAGAAGCAAGTATGGTCATCAGTTTCCTTTCATCAAAGTAGTAGCAAAGACTATTGAGCTTACTCAAGGCGAAATTGATTGAAGCTACCAAGTAGACGAAATAAAGGATGGAAACGAGGATTTTTGTCGGTGTAGTGGACACAAATCGAGCAAGCAACTCCCCCAGAGTCGTTGAGAGCGAACTCGTACTGGCTTTCTCTCTTTCTTTACCTGAAAAGTTCATAAATTGAGTTTTGCAGTGAAATCTCCAACATACTTCTCTTACCAGTTCGAGAGACCCGATAGCAGAATAGGGAGTGTCGGCTAGCGATTTCCCGTCGACAGCACAACACCATCACTGCGTTGAAAAAGGTGACTTGAAAGAAGAACATGAAAAGGATCGCCATTGCACAGTACGTACAGAAAACACCTGGAAAGGGCAATAGTGGGTCAGGAGGTCCCTTGAAGGCAGAGTAGATGAAATGCACTCACGAACGGCGTAGAAGTCTGACACACTACCGATGGAGAATGATAAGCCGTCTGTGAGTGATGTAATGAATAGGGAGGCTGCCGTTTCCGTAAGTGCATCGACAAATCTGAAACGCTCTGATGTTTGAATCATTTTGTATGGAACTATCTCGATGAGAGAAAGGCGCATCATCGAGGCCAAAGTGAATGTCTCGAACCAGGGCCTTCTAATGAGTCTAGCGCGCATAGAATAGGTGAGAATGCTCTGGGAGTATCCCCTGAAACTTCCCAAACCATGAATTATGCTGGAGTCTTCGGGAAGAAGGAATTATTATTAACGGACATCGCTCACTCTTATACTCATGCCATAACCGCAGATTTCATGATATCCCAGGGAGTTGACTATGGCTCGTCCTCGACCTAATTGTTAGGGCTTAAAAGCGTTGGAACGAGGAGAGCTGGAAACTCAATAGGACCTTGAGGCCGAATATACGACACAAATTTCGATGGGCTTTAGCAGGAGAACGCTCGGAAAGTGTTGACTGTGAAGAAACCGTTCGGGGCTTAGGGTCAAGTAAGAAAAGAACAGGAAGCGGGTTATGTTATGAGCATAGTAGTGGGTAGTGTTCTATTCAGCAGTTTTATGGCAACTCCCAAAGCAGTTCAAAAAAAAANAAAAAAAAACAGAAATATGCGAAATTTCGGCAGATACTTCCCGAGAGGCTCAATAGAAAAAGGGTGAAGAGAAAAGATCCCTGCCATTCGAGAAATCACCTCAATTCCATGTCAGGCTCCTGTGAAAGTCGCCAACTTTTCAGCATCAGAAACATGTTGTCCGTACCGATAGCTGAAACTGATTAGTTGTGTTGAACTGTAAAAGTCGGGAGAAAAAACACTAACAGACAACGAGGAATGGCATGATGAAAACAAGGGGTAGGAACGGGTAGCGCAGGTACAGCAGTAGGGCCATAGCAGCCACCGTAGACATCGATGCGTTCAACATGGCGAAGAAACCGATCCATGGCTGTGACCTGAAGGCTTCAGTCTTAGGCTTATCGGGTTGAACAGTAATTTCGGGCATTTTTAGTTACTAACAGTTCAGATTCGTTGCTAATAGACGCCTGTGTGGCAGCGCTGGGACACTTTTGTCCACTCCGGCGGTGGGACCTGGTGGAAAAATTGTGATGAAAATTTATACTCGGGCCAAACCATCGTTGCAGACAGCTCGACTGCCCTTTGCCCTTAACCTCTCAACCGTACCTTGCTCCGAATAAGGCGGAATCGCCCGAGCGTTAGCCACCCGGCCACCACCCCTGTGTAGTTGCATTAAAGGCACAGTTCACGATAATTTTGGGTAATCCAGATTATGATGAAAAATGGAAGACAAGATTGAAACTAGTGCGACTGAGGTAAAGAAACTGCGTGCATCGGTGTTTTCAAAGTGTAAAAAGGCTTCCAAAAACCGTTAAAAAGGGGGCTGGACGAGAATGAAACCAGAAACTTCATTTCCTCTGCAAAAGGGTACCTAGAAAACCATCCACATATCCGCGAAATTAGGCTCTACTACTTCGACAAAGGTGTGAAGGTGGCAGAGTCATTCCGCAATCTCAGTAACTTTTTTTTAAACAAATTTTATTTAATGAAACG